GTGAAATATGCCAACTCTGCAAAGCTACCAGGCTGAAGCCAATGGGTACGGGCTGCTCCTCCTGCCTGGACATGCTTCCATGCGACTGTCCCTCGCTCTGCATGCTAACCAGTTCTTCCAGCTAACATTCCTGAAGAGACCTGGAACCCAGCTGTTGGGCATGTAAACATTTCAAGTGAGTACAAGAATACAAACGAACCAGGAGATCTGCTTCTCTGAGCAGTTTTTGGGCTGGAGATGGAGTTCAGTGATTCCTAAATGCCAGAGTACCAGGGTTCAACCTCTGGCAGTGACCAAAAAAAAAAAAAATTTCTTTCATAGCACCTCAGTTTCTGCCCCGGCTTTAAGATGAGTGAAGCACAAGACAAAAACCCCACGACTCGTTATCCCAAAGGTCTTTCCTTTGAAAACTCAAACTTGGCATTTGGCATTTCTAACAAATGGCTATGAAAGTACACTATCAGCTCTCTCCAGACACAAATTCCCCTCACTTCATCGGAATTACACTTCTGTAACCAAATGGGATTGTGTAGCAAAATCGCCGAACAAGCACACGCGGCTCTCGAGTTTTGATTGCCTAACTCTGCATGGCTTGACCCTTGACAGAGCGCTGACTGTCCAATGGTGACACCCCCATCTCCAGACGGCGCTCTCAGGAAGGAAACCACTCTCTCCAGGAGCTTTACATCTCACATCCGTATGTTAGGAGCACTTACAGAATTCAACATGCTTAATCACGTCCAAGAAAATGATTTTTATCACACCCAGCTTCAGAAAACACCTAATAGTTTTCGTAAATATTTATGTGCACAAGGTTTTGTGTGTGTGTGTGTGTGTATGTAGGTGCAGTAGAGACATGGGTAATGCCCGCAGGGCACAAGGAGCCGGATCCCTTGGAACTGAGGTTGTGAATAGCTGTGCCACAGCACAGGATGCTGGTCAGCACCCCCAGAGCCGTTGTCATACAGCAGGTGCATTTCTAGGAAAACATTGCTGACTTGTACTGTTCTCACCTGGGCTGGCACTCCTCTTGTAGGTATTGTTTTTGTGCGGCGGCATGCTATACACGGAGAGGTAGATGGATAGTTGCATCATACTAACCTTGGTCTCTGTGAACGCCCTTCTGGCCTAGCTCACTTCCTTTCACCTATGGATAACTCAGCTGTGTTAATACTTCCTGTTTGTACCTTGTTTCTTGATAAAAGTATCAACTTTCAGCCTTTGTAACTTTCTACCCAGTAATAGGCCTATCAGCTACTACTTTTAGTTGTTTCTAATTCTGAGGCAATTCCATTTATAAAACTATGAACTGAGCAGGCTCTATAGAAGAACATACATGTATATATTTGCATTCATTAAAAATTAATATAAAAGAGGCCACAAGTGTGGAGGAGAGTGGGGCAGGCATATGGGAGGGTTTAATGGGAGGACAGGTAAGGAAGGAAAAACCACCTTTTCAGGAACACACGAGGGCTGAGCCATTTCAGGAGCCATCTGTGGCCTCCTGTAGGATCTAAGAATCCCGAGGCCCACAGCCTCTCAGTCATGGGCCATGAGGCTGCATTTCAGACAGCTGACACTTTGTCCTTTCAGGTAGAAAACTGCTCTGGAGGCCCCACAGAGCAGCTTTGTGGGTGGGGGCCCCACTCACAGCTCCAGAAGTCATTGAATGATTCATTTCTTTCTCAGCATGGGGTTAGAGATGGCTCTCCAGTATGAAAGCTGAGGAACCATGGGCATACATAACTATTACAACATTTTTTAATTAAAATAAGTCGGGCGTCTACACAGCAAGTCCAGGACAGCCAAAGGTACACAGAGAAGCTCTGTCTCGAAAAACAAAACAAGATAATAAAACAAAATAAACAAAACCAAAACAAGCCTTTCCCTCTAGTGTTAAGATCTAGGAATACCTTACCATTCTTGGCATATCGGGCCAACAGAGTGAAGGTGTGTAATTTACACACCTAGCTCCACACATACAGCTGCTCATCTGCTCAAACGTTAAATCACAAAATTACGAGCCTAAGCCAGATTTACGCCTGAGGCCTCTCCTTTCTCTGATTATTACTGTGTGAAGGAAGCCGCAGGATGGGGACTCCCAAAAGCACTCTTCAACACTAGTGCAATTACCCCAGCACGCTTGCAGCTTGTGACGCCTCTGTCGCTTAGGCCCAACCATACACTCTCCAATACACGTCCATACACGCTGTAAGGTTGCTCTGGACATACACAACACTAGAAATCAGTGATGACTGTGCTCAGCAAAACACAGCTTCCAAAGACCTAGAAGTACAATTTGGGAGCCACAGACTTTGGAAGGAAACTGCAGGGTAACTTAGTGCCTCCACCTCCAGAGCTAGGCGTGAACCCAGGGCCCTGCGCACCAGGAGAGCACTGTCCCACGAGCCAGTACAAAGTTTCCTAGGTAGAATGAGGCACTTGAGCCCCATCTATTCATTAGATACATCTGTTTGAAAACGAGGTCAGCTGTTAGAGATTGTGGTCACTGGGACCAGTGCAAAGACACTCTGCATGATAATTATTTACTACCTTATTTTCACAAAGGACATCCTCATTATGCTCCTCCCACCCAGGCAAACTACAAATCAGTCTGAGCACAGCCTAGTCTACAGAGTGGATTCCAGGACAGCCAGGGCTACACAGAGAAACTCTGTCAAACAAACAAACAGGATTTTTCTTTCTACATTAACAAAAAAACAGTAATACAAGAGAAAATGTACAACATGAAAAAAGGAATGTTAAAAGCACTCTGTACTAATGTTTTATTCAGGTTTGTTTCTGCAGAGTTAAAAAATTCAAGGTACATTAATTCAAATGAAGCTTCCTTTAATCTCTACTAATTGAGAATTGTTATTTTTGTATTCAGCAAGTTATTAGGAGTATATGCTTAAGGGCTGAAAAATCCCAATCAGAAAATTTTGGTAGTTCATTTTAAATTCTCTTTTCTGAAATTCATTCATTGAAACGTGTATTTTGAGCTGGTGGTATATTAACAGTGAGCTAAGTACCTGAAAACATTTACCTATAGTTTCTAGCAGAAGAGTCCTAAAATGAAGATCTACAGTCTGTGGTGGACATTCTTTACACAAAGCTTTCATCCTGGAGACGAACAAGACACTCACAATACCCTACCCACGACATCTGTGCCAAGTGCCCTGTGTCCATGTTGTGTTCACAGGCGTGAGGCTTCTCTACCTAACCTCCGAACCTTCAATTCTGTTACTATCATATTGCAAAGCCATAAAGATACATTGTACACTGTATAATTTTTATTAGTTCATGTGTGGGACTTAGATTATATCAAACCATCATGTAATGATAAGGTAAAATTCAGCCTAATTATTCTAAATTACTTGGTTAAACATGGGGTCACACTATGGGCTCTCTAAACATAGAATACTCAATAGTATGGTCTCATGAAATCCAACCTAAGGAGAAAAGAGCTCAGTTAACAGAGCACAAGAAAATAAGTGCAAGTTACATTTCCTGTTGTAGAAAGCTTCTATTTGTTGTTTCTCATTTTCTAAACTCCAGGTTTCCTAAAATGAATTAAGTTACACACTGAAGTTAGAATAGAAAGATGTGTTCACAGTGGGAATTTGGAATAAAAACTATTTAAAATTAAGTTTAGATATAGTTTGAAAAGCATACTCAATTTGATTAACCACACAAATGTAGAGTGACGGTATTGTGAACAATACAAAAAAAGATGTAAGCTCTTTAGACTGTTTTGAAAACATTTTGTCAATAAACAAACTCTTCCACAAAAAGAATGGAAAAAGTACTTTGTAGATATAAAGTATAAAATTTAGTGTTTTTATATAAAAAGTGGATGGGAAATAAACTTAGTTCATGATATTTGAAGTAGATCTCATCTATATTTGAAAATGTTAATTATAATAAATAACAGCTAGAAAACAAACTATTTACAGACTGAGGTTATCAATTAATAAGACATACAATCTTTCTTTTTCTTAGGCTATAGATTTTGAAAGCATTCGTAGAAAACAGGCATTTATTTATTTATTTATTTATTTATTTATTTATTATGTATGTATGTATGTATGTATGCATGCATGCATGCATGCATGCAATGTTCTGCCTGGATGTGTGCCTGCACACCAGAAGATGGCATCAGATTTCATTGTAGATGGTTGTAAGCCACCATGTGGTTGCTGGGAATTGAACTCAGGATCTCTGGAAGTGTAGCCAGTGCTCTTAACCTCTGAGCCATCTCTCCAGGCCACTTGCATACTAAGTTAAGGATATGTGCTATGAAAACAGGTTTTTAAAAATCAAATTTTACAATGGGGTTTTCTGCACACGCCAAGAAAACAGCCTGGCGGTGAGCTACGTCCTAGTCCCATGAGCAACGTAAGCTCGGGGTCTCGGATACTTCAATGTTATTTTCTTCCGTGTGGCACTAGCTGTCTTTGAACTCCAGATTCATCTGCTCCTGCCTCTCAAGTGCTGAAACTAACGGCATGCACCGCTATGGCCCAGCCTTCCTGAGCTATTTGAAAACAACACCTATGTTGATTAGCATTCAAGTCATAACCGAATGTCCATTTAAAATGTGCTTTTACTTTAAATTTTTAAGGGATAAATGGTCAAGACCCTTAGCCTCAAGTTTTCTGGTAAATTTGTTTACGTTCTTGCAAATAGAGTAATCAAACTTCACATAATGCTGATTCCAATGAAGTTATTTGGTTTAATCATAGGAGGCATTTAATTAGGTTGATGATCTAACAATTCAGAATTAAAGTAACAGTACTTAGTCTTTTTGAAAATGAAAAAGAATAGTTGTTAATTCTGTCAGTACTCCATGGTTATATATAACATATCCTGAAAAAAAATCCTTTACATTTTTGCATTCTGTGACACCTACAACCAATATAATATTTAGTTAAAACACCAAGCCAGAAATGTTAAGAAACTTTTTTTGTAGAAAACTTAAAAAAGGCACATAGCTGGAATTGGATGTATGATGGTTTTTATTTACAACTTTATTGGCAAAAAAGGGGAGAACTTTAAACAGCTTTAATACAGGGCGACAAGGCTGACCCTGTCAGGTTGAACAAGTCCCACTCTCAGTGTCCACCTAATTGTCCAAGATGTACAACACTGAATCTGCACCTTCCTTTATCAAGTACAGGGCTCACCTTTCAGGCAGTCTTTCAAACATAAATACAAAGGAAAGGAAACCACTCATTAAAAACGGCAGCAGACGGAAAGTATTTTAAGTGTGACTTTGTTGTTCCTGGAAATTACACATGCCCAATGGAAATCAAAAGCTGGAAAAGCAGTTACACTTCCTACGTGAGTGGACAGGTACAGCAACAATCACCTTCTGTAGTGCCATTTCTTATTATCAGCTACTCTGCACTTACTATGAGATGTAGTCAAAGTCAGAAGAGAAGACACAGGGATAGTGCTCCTTTTGTGGAGGACACTATCCCTCCAGAATCATCACGAGGGAAACGAACACCCTGTTGATTCTAGGTGGCAAACCATTAATGAGGTCAATTTCAATTCATGTTGACCACACTGAGCTGACCTAATTTTCCTCCGTGACTCGTGTGGTGTCATTCTTCTAAATCAAGTGTGTTCAGTTCTTCCTCCAGTTCATCCAGATCTTCCCCCGTGAACAGATTTTCATCAACAGGAACAGCATCGATGGATCCATTTTCTTGTCCTCCCCCTCCACTGTCGTCCAAATCACTTCTCTCGCCGTTTCCAGCCTGACCCCCAGAAGCTTCACTTAACTTGTTCTCTACACACAAAAACAAACAAAAACCCCAAACCTGGTTATTAGTAAAGCCTAGAAACCTATGACATCACTACGGTAGTAAACGAGCCGAACGTTCCTCCTTTCTCAGACTTCCTCCCATGACACTCCTGCAGCACAGGCAGCCTTCCTTTCTGAGCTGGCCTGTACCAATCATCCGTGTCCACTATGAAACCCTGTTTTGACGGCAAGATCTAGGTAGATCTACCGCACTTCTGACTGCAAGGCTGTGGGGTCAGAACACCCATGCTTCCTCTGTGACCAAATCCCCGTTCACAAAGAGCACGCGTCAGTCTCCTTAACCTCAGAGCGTGGGGGGGGGGGGTAAGCCACCCGCTTTAGTCACCAACTGCAGACCTTCACGATCAAAGTAAGGTTTCTAAGTCTTTTCTATTTCAGCTTTTGCCTGAATTAGTACCCCTCTGTGCTTCTTTTCATAGCACATATCCTTCACTTAGTATTCAAGTGGCCTGCAGAGATGGCTCAGCGGTTAAGAGCACTGTCCGCTGTTTCAAGAGGTCCTGAGGTCAATTCCCAGCAACCACATGGTGGCTCACAACTGTCTATACTGGGATCTGATGTTCTCTTCTGGCATGTAGGTGTACACGCAGATACAACACTCATATATGTAAAATAAATAAATCTTTTTAAAATAACCTTATTTTTTAGAAGATTTATTTTATGTATGAGTGTTCTAACTGCATTTACATCTGCGAGAAGACAGAATCAGTTCACGTTATAGATGGTTATGAGGCACCTTGTGGTCGCCAGAATTGAACTCAGGACCTTTGGAAGAGCAGCCAGTGCTCTTAACCTCTGAGCCATCTCTCCAGCTCAAAAGAAATAAATCTTAAACAAAACAAAACAAGTTAGTATTGAAACCCCTTACTAAAGATACAATTAGATACAAACTCCAAATCTTTCTGCCCGTATAGTCCCTGGAAAGCTTTCCATCCATTCTCAGACTAAACCACTACTTAAAAACTTCCAGGACTTGTTTCTTTTCTCTCCTGTCATTTTTTCCCTTCTCTATTAAAGCTTTTTCTTTGTTCGACACACACACATTCTTATTTCCCACATCCTAAACAGGCCCTCCCTGTGACCACGCACAGGCAGCCCTTCTTCTCCTATGTACTCCTTTGCGCTTCATTCTCCCTGCAGACGGGCACTTACTCCAGTAACCCTTTGCCTAACTGCAACTAATAAATTACTTGTAATTTTACTTTTTTTCTTCTGACACTCAGGCCTCTGAGTTTTTTCACGGAAGCTCGGTGTTCTCTAAGTACTACCTTTTGTCTATCCTGTAGTACTGGTGTGTTCTAGACGGGTTTTATGGATCCTGGCTGAGCTCATCCATTCTGACAGCAGTTCAGGCGACTTTCAGCCTTTTGTCTACAGCTATACAGATTTCTAGATTACACTCAAAAGCTACATCTCTAAACTTGTTTTTGTTCTCCTTTTAAGAATTTTAGTCACCAGTTTTAATATTCACTAAGCCATCTTTTCTACAGCTTCTACTACCTTCTGTGTTTTGCCAAATGCCCACATTTCCAGTCTGGAACTTGCACACACCTGACAGCTCCTCTACATAGTTTCCCAGCCCTTCAGAATGCTGAGAAGGGCAGCATACTCACCATCTTTATCTGAAGCATATGTGTTGAATCTCTCAAGGCTGGCCACAGTGATACCTGTCTCCTCTACATCTTTTGGGATGTACAGGCTCACATCTATGTCATTCACACCCACAGAATCATCAACCTTTAATAACACAGGGGAAGCAGTTACTACAAATAATTTCCTCAATTCACTTTTAACCTTAACACATTATCTCCAGAAGACAAAATTATTACTAATACCAAGTAAAAACAAATGAAGAATTCATTGTTCTCTACTTAAACTTTTAGAATAAAAATGCAGTAATACTGTAACCGAAGTTTCCTTATTTCTTGACTGTTTTTGCAGAACAATTTTAAATAAACAACAAGTTACTTTAAAGGGATTAAGAACACTTTAAAAACATCTCCTGCACTAAACCCTGCCCTAAGCTCTATAAAGAAAGGGCCTGGAAATAACCCCAATTAACCCATTCATCTCAGCAGCAGCCTGGGTTAGGAATTACTCATGATGTATGCACTGCAGGTAAGACCGGAAGTCTAGAGAAAGAACTTCTTATTGATGGAAATAGGACTTGAACCAGCGCTGACCCAGCGCTGGTGTGCTGTTTTCACCATGTTTCTGTTTTCTCTGCTCCCTCCCAGCCATTAAGATAAATATGTGAGGTCATGGCTTCTTCTTACCTCATCACCACCTGTTCCCTGAATGTAGCGGGTATCGTCTGCTTCCTCATCATCATCATTGACCAGCTCAGGACGAAATTCAAACACCTCACGACCACTGATCTATTCAGGCATACAGACACAGCATCTCAGGAAAAGCTACCACTCATTTTAGACATACTGCATACAGAGCTTAGAGACACAAAGAACCCCGAATCTTAAAAACTGTAAGAGAAAAGAATGAAGGGCCATTGGCATGAGCTTGGGACATACCACCAGTGCTTTCCCTGCCTTGAAGTCAGCTTTCCGCCTCTCCATATCTTGTTCAAGTTTATCAATCTTTTCTTGTCTTTTCCTTTTCTTCCATGCGAGAAAAGATTCTAGAGTGATTTTGGTAACATTTGGACCTAAGGCAGAGCGCTGCAAAGGCAAGAGATTTAAAGTCACTTACTGTTTAACAGCATTTCTCTTTAATGTAACTAATTCCTTCCCTATGCCCACCCTAACACAGTAAATAGACTAAATTTTGGTACTTTCACTCTGCATGGCAATGAGTGAAACAAGTCACCCCAGGCCCCCACATAAAACCTAACACTTTGAGGTAAATCTCTTAAGCAGAAAAGTTTGTTGGTAAAACTAGTATATTTTTAAAAACACTCACAATAAATCCAAGCTTGATCTGTGTTCTTTCAGATGAGAACTAAAACTGAGAAACAAAAATATCACCTGCACTTCTTGGGGGTAACACATAAGAAATGTGCAGAAAAGTAAGTCTCTGCCAGACATCTGGTGTTGCAAACTTTACACGTATATACTGCCACGCACATCTCAACAAATAAGCAGAGGGTGAGAGGACACTTATCAAGTGCAAATAGCTACAAAGTGGTGGAACTAGGTGAAAACTATCTCCCCCACACTTGGTGTTAATGCCCATCCTCTATTATTTTATCCCGCATGACAAACAACACAGCCATTTAGAGATCATATATAATCTTAACCTTAGTCACTCATGTGCACACTGAAATGAAGAATGCTAAATCTAGTATTCCCAAGGAACCTCAACTTCATCGTACATTCAAAGCCCTCCAACTCACAGAACACATCAACTGCTTTGCTGGGCTAGAGCAGCTGCAGCAGCTCTTTAGTCAGATACTCCCCTAACTGGATAGCTAAAACTTGACCAAAACGAGAGAGGAGGGGTTTCCTTCCACACATACAGTATGCTATAAAGAGAAAAGGACGCTTAGGAAAGAACCCAACAATCTCATCAACATAAGGCTAAATAAGCATTTAAAAAATAAACCCGTAACTTGAAACAGCAGCAGTGGGTACTTAAAACAAACCCTATACATGCCTACATTTAAAGCATGTTTGGCTAATGCATATGGTAAAATTCACATTCAATTTACTCAGGAGTAATTAGAGTATGGTAACTTTAAGAAAAGGACATATTTCATAATCTGCTATTGCCCCCAAGTGGTAAATATTAGAACTGACAAAATAATAAAAAATAGCTTTTTTAAAAAATTAAAAAAAAATTTTAATATTAGTTACAGTTTATTAACTTTGTATCCCAGCTGTATCCTGCTCCCTCATTCCCTCCCAACCCCACTTTCCCTCCCTCATCTCCTCCCTGCCCCTTTCCAAGTCTACTGACAGGGGAGGACCTCCTCCCCTTTCATCTGACCCTGTTTTATCAGGTATCTTCAGGACTGGCTGCAATGTCCTCCTCTGTGGAGGCGGAGGTCAAAGAGCCCACCATTGAGTTCCTGTCAGAAATAGTCCCTGGTCCCCTTACTAGGGTACCCACTTCGATACTGAGGTACCATGGGCTACATCTGAGCAGAGGTTCTAGGTTATATCCTTACATGGTCCTTGGTTGGAGAAACAGTCTCAGAAAACACCCCTGTGCCCAGATATATTTGGTCCCTGTGGAGCTCCTGTCCTCTGTAGGTCATATTAACTCCCCCTTCTTTCATATGATTCCCTGCACTCTGCCGAAGGTTTGGTTATGAGTCTTAGTATCTGCTTTGATACACTGCTAGGTAGAGTCTTTCAGAGGCCCTCTGTGGTAGGCTCCTGTCCTGTTACTTGTTTTCTCCTACAACCAATGTCCATCCCATTTGTCTTTACCACTCCTAGGCATATATCCAAAAGATGCTCAAGTACACAACAAGGACCTCTGCTCAACCATGTTTGTAGCAGCTTTATTTGTAATAGTCAGAACCTGGAAACAACCCAGATGTCCCTCAGTTGAGGAATGGATACAGTAATTGTGGTACTTTTACACAATGGACTACTACTCAGCAATTAAAAACAAGGAAATCATGAAATCTGCAGGCAAATGGTGGGACCTAGAAAAGATCATCCTGAGTGAGGTATCCTGGAAACAGAAAGTCACACATGGTATATACTCACTTATATAGACCCATAAGATAGGATAAACATCATGAAATCTATACACCTAAACAAGCTAAACAAAGAAAGAGGACCTGGGGTAAGGTGATCAATCCTCACTTAGAGAAAATAGCTTTTAAAAGAAGCTTGTTACCTCTCTCTCAATTAGATCTTCTAATGAAATCTCATCTTCTTTCTCTTCTTTCTTTTTGTCTTTTTTTAGCACAAATCCAGGAGGAAGTGCATGGCGATACATGCAATTGTCCCCACCTCCAGGACACACCCAGAACCAGCCATACTTGTTATTCTCAATAGCTTCAAGGAAATGTCTGCACACCTAGAGAGACAGCATGATTCAGGAGTGGTTGGTGCAGTGTAAACCCATCTCATTTAAGCAAGAGGAAAAAGTAACAAACTCACACCCTGAGGTAACCACTTACCTACAAATGACACAGAAGTGTTGAAAATACTAATACCAAGCCAGACCTGGGCTACAGTGTGAGACCCCCAACCCCAAACAAGCCAGGGGCTAGAGACTCGGCTCAGTCATTAATGTCAGCAGGCTTCCAAGGGCCTGGAACTCTGGCTCCAGGGATCTGATCTGGTCTCTGTCCTCTACAGGCACACGTATTAGTGCATATACCACACAAAAACACATACTACACATAAGTAAAGAAAATCAGACCATGTATAAAGTAGCAAAATCCCCAAAGCTTCTACTCTGGATATAATAATTCACAGTTAATTTCAGTTAGCCTTTGTAAATATAATCCCAAAGTCTGATTTTTTAAAATAAATACAGCCCAAGGTCTAACCTCGAGCACTTCAAGGAAAAAAATAAAGAAAGCAAACAAACCAAAAAACCAAAAGAGAAATCCTATGCAATCATAACGTGAATCCCATTGGGATTACTTGACTAGACAGGCAACTCTGTACATGAGTCATAAGGGTACAAGGTTCAAAAGGAACATAACACCAAGAATAATGATCCTTCAAACACAGATGGGTCTAAAGTGCAACTGTGCTGGTCAGGCAACTTCACAAGTGGAAACTCACAGTTCCTCCCCCTCCCCTCAGGAGTGTTTATGAGCCAAATTTATCTAAGTCCTCTAGCAGAGCAGGACCTCACCAGATATGTACTCAGGAATAGTCTGAATTTTTAAAGGCAGGTTCCCTAGAACATTAGAGATATTACCCACCAAAAACCACATTTAAAGATTTACATGTAAAAATACTTTGACCTAGTAATTAAAAGCACTCCCATAGTATTAAAAGTAAACAATTCATCCAGTGGGTTGGCTTGGCAGGCCCACCTCCATCAGTATTCACAAGAAATAAGAGTATTATCTAAGTATATACTGTATTCATCCTGCTTTCTTGAGACAGGCTATATACGTGCCCCGGGCCTGCATCGAACTTGCAATTGGCCTGTTGGGATTACCGGTATATGCTACCATGTTTAGCTGTGCTCACCCATAATTGAGGAAGTAGAATCACTCCATAAAATTGCATTAGAAGACTTTAGTCACTCAGTTTTTAGACCAATTTTGTTAAAAAAAAATCTAATTAAAAAACAAACTTTGTAACTCAAACAAACAAACAAGTTTGATGTATTAGCTTATATTGGTGAAATGAGATTTTCTAATTAACTCTAATAACTCAACTCTAAAACATCTAGTAGAAAACATCAATATTTTGCCACATAACTCTCCCTAATAATAAATGCCACAACAACTCAAGAAAAGGACATACTATTTGAGTTTTGGGTTTTTTCTTTTCCGCCTCACCATGCTTCTTGTTTACTACTTCTTCCAGCTTTTTCTCATCCCAATTATCCATAGTATCTAGATAAAGACACAATAAATGTTTTAAATCTTCTGCCACAACATAAGGCCTCTGAACAGACAAGACCACTCCCCTGTAATATTCGTGACATAAGTTGTCTTGGAAGCAGCGCAGACAGGCATACATTGCCTGCTGAATTATCCACCCAGTTCCCCAGGCAGTTCAGACAGGAGACGGTACAGTGGAGGGAAGGACACACGGAAATTAGAGCACTGTATTCTGAGCAACACTTATGTCAACCTCTGTGCAAAGCCCCAGCTGGTCTTTGCAAACAAGAGTAGTAATATGCACCAATACGTTACTACGCATCTCAGAAAGAAACCAAAATTTACTTTTCCATTTCAGGGGAAAGTTAACAAAATACCTTTTTCAAGTTCTTCATCTCTTGCATCAATGTAAACGCTTCGTTTTTCACATTTTCTCTCCAGAGTGAGGTCATGAGAGAACTTACATTTATCTCCTTTAGTACACTGCCCTTGTTTGAAGAACGCACACACCACAGACTTGGGATCTGCACCTGTATCAAAAGGCAAGTACTGTCTGTACTACAGGCGGGCCCACTTCCTGCTGCAGGGTATTGGTTGCTCTTCTCAGTGGCGGGGGTATAATTACTTTTAACTTATTACCTTCCAGGTACTAATGTGCTAGAAAACGTATCTTACAGGTGCTTGGCTGGGTACTTCTTTAAAGTTCCTTACATCGCATTTCACATTCTGTTTTCCTTCTATTCTTACCCTAATAAATGGCCGAAGTGCAAAGCAAACACACAGGTTACTCTACGGCTCCTTGCGGAGTCAGCGAGACAGGAGATGGGAAGAATACTGCCCCAAGTATGTTTGTGACTTATAATTTCTAAAACCACTGCTTTGCCTTGCCTCCTGAACACCTGCCCCCTACCTCATCAAAACACAAAGAACAAAAATCCAGAAAACAACCAAGTTGTTTTTATTTTATTGTTTACCTTTGGCTGGCCTTGAATTCATATAGATCTGCCTGCCTCTACCTCCTGATTGTTTAGAATAAGAGCACATATCACACCAGGCAAAAATCAAGTAAAAAACTTAAAATATATGTGTATGTGTGTGTGTGTGTGTGTGTGTGTGTGTGTGTGTGTGTGTGTGTGT